AATATTTTCCTTCCATGTATTTGGGGTTGTGATTTTATTTAATGTCAGAGTGGAAGAATATTGAGACCTAATATGTGAGTTTGCCAGAGGATAGACTCGGTCTGTCTCCTGCAATGCTATCATGAGTGGGGTCAGTCACACTCAACACTCACAGCTAAGTTAACTTGGAGTGAACCCTAGTGTAAGAATGTGTTGATTTAATCATTTAGCTCATGGTAACTACATGTAAATCCCAGCCAACACCACGGATTCCTCAAGTAGCAAGTCCGGTGTCTTGCCTTCCTGGAACCTAGTCGTGGAAAGGGAACTTTGAAGCAGGGAGTAAGAAATTCTGCAGCACGTGTGGACAGCACTGGGCACCAAGGAGGACGCTGTGGGGACTTGAGCTGGTGTGGCTAAGGTGTGGCCGGTGCTGTAAGCTGATGCGGGTAGCTGAGGAGGGAAACCTTCCTGACCAAAAGTAGACCGTGCATGGATCTTACATCCACAAGAGTAGAGGATGGGCAAAGTGGCAGGAGAAGCTGGGACCCACACGCATGGGTCTCCTCTTTCCTGGTCCCCCGTGTCACTCCTACAGAGGCATGCTCTTAAGCTCTTTCTTATCGTGTGTGTGTGTCAGTTTGAGAATTTCACATATGTATACAATGTAATATGATCATTTTCATCCCTCTTTTCTCCTCTCTGCCATGGTTTCCCCTAACATCTCTCTCCCATTCCCACTTCCTTCTTCTTTATAACCTAGTGTAAATAATCCCAGCGTTGAGGAGGTAGAAACTCTGTTCGGTTCTCACTGTCTCTCAGGGTGGGGAGGGTGATCCCCTGGGTCACAGACAACCCAGGTAAAAGAATGGTTCTCCCTCCAGCAGGAGCTACAGCCAGCAATTGTTCCTCAGTTAGGGGTGGGGCTACCAGCTGACTCTTAGGGGGCATCTCATGATTTTTTACCATAATTTTTTGGGAACTGTGTTGTCCACTCATGCATGGTATTTCCATTTGAACTTTTAAATGTGTGTGTGTGTGTGTGTGTGTGTGTGTGTGTGTGTGTGTGTGTATAAATTATCTCTCCTACTAGTAGGTTTCCATACGGCTGTCTCACAATCCTTTCCTGTGGTTAACCCATTCAGACCCCCCTTACCTTATTCCCCTGCTTCCATCCAGTTCAGCACTTCAATCCCTGCACCCCTTCTGTCCCTCTCTATCACATATATTCTGCCATCTCTCCAATGACCTTTTCCTCTTCACTTTCCGGTCCTGACTGTCCTCTTTGAAGTGGCTGTTCCTCTTTTCTCTGCTATCACACACGCATTGCTCACACTCGGCTGGGAGACAGAGACACACAGCACTAGAAAATGCCAGCATTGCCTCAGGGCAGAAGAATGCCAAGCCCATTGATTCATTTTGATTGGGTGTGAAGGAAAGAGAGACATCAAATATTGATAGAGCGTTTCTCAGAAAAGCCCTGGGATCACTTGAGTTGATCGCTTACTGTTTTGTAAAGAAAGTAACAGTGGTGGGAGTGAGCGGCAGAGTCCTCTGGTGTCTCCAGAGCTGCTGTGTCTTGAGGAGTTGCTTAGCAAAGTCAACAGGAGACTAGGAAGCCACAGGCTGTCAGACCTGTCATCCCTTAACCTCCAGGTCTTCTCTTCTAGGGCTGCCAGACTTAGAGTCCCCAGCTTCCCAGAGTGTCACAGATATACATCCCCTGTTTCCCAGGGCTGTACCAGTGAACAGTCACTTCATGACTGCCTTGCTAAACAGGTTAGGATGAACACATTTCTGGATGCAATCCAACCTGTGGCTCTTCAGAGAACTTTTCCTACTGTTAGGAGAACCCACTGTACACCTCCTATTAAATACACCTTGCTGTGGACTGTCCTCGGAGCCAACTCTGGTAGTGTTAAGGGAGCCCCCTCCCCAGGGTTCACAGTTTTCCTACAGATATGAAAAGGTAACTTACCTTTCACCCTCATACTTTTGTGAACTGGCAGTAGTTTTTGGTGGTCACATGATATACCCACAGTTCAGAAAAGGCTGTTACGATGATGGTCCCTTTTCCACGTTCCAATTCGCGGGTCACACTTTCTTCTCACTTCAACTACCAATAACAGAAATCACAGAAAAACACACATCACAAAGCAGGTGTGGGCATCCAGGTATCTTCTCCTGGGTCAGACATGAAGGAGATCGAAAAAGATTCAATCTATTATGGCCAACAACTAGGATGTGCGAGGCTTTTAATTCTGTCCCTAGTATGACCACAGTCAAAATAATCTAATAAACATCTCAGTTAATGCCACTACCATATCTTCTTTTGCTTTGAAAGGTATTTTTATATAAATGCAGTATTTATGTTATAGTTTATTGTTTGAAATAAGCTATGCCTCTGAGGTATAAGGCTCTTCCTTCCCCATAACTGTTAGCTGCCTGTAGCAACTCAAGAAGGTAGGAGATCTTATAAGCCCCTCCTCCTACCCATGACAGAACGCTGTAGATAAAAACACAATTCCTTATATATATAAAAGTGTGTGTGCGCACACGTGTGTGTGCATGTGTGTGTGCATGTGCACATGTATGCATGCGTGTGTGTGTGCTTGCATATGTCTGTGCATGTGCCCACATGTGTATGTGCGTGTGTGCATGCACACCACCATGTAGGTGTGGAGATTGGAGAACAACTTGAAGGAGTCAGTTCTTGTACTGCGTAGGTCCTGGGGATTGAACTCAGGTTGTCAGGTTTGCAGCAGACTCCTTTACCCACTGAGCCCTTTCACAGGTCCCAGGGAACGATTCCTGATGGATGTGGCCTACTCCCTGTAGCAGCTGCACCCGTGATACACCATGAACAAATGAGCAAGTGCCCTGTGGTACTTTCTAATTGGAATCTGGTGTAGTGTACACCCTTTCTGTCCTTATACACACACACACACACACACACACACACACAGAGAGAGAGAGAGAGAGAGAGAGAGAGAGAGAGAGTCAGCTCCTCAACAGACAGTGTCTTCCAAAGCTTTATTTCAGACTTACTAAGATCAAAGTATCTGTTTTGAGATTTTTCATTCATCTTTAACTTCTCTGACTTTGACATTTGCCAAACTTGGCAGCTAGAGAAGGCTTTCAAGAAGCGTGCATCTCCCTTGGCCGCCCTATGGATCTCTGATCCATCACATACCGCTTGTCACGTGTAAACTTCCCCCTCTCCCGTGGTACTGAAATCACTGGGTTCAGACAGACAGCACTGTAATGTATATGTAGTTCCACACGACATGAAGAGCCCGTGGTGTCCCGGCCACCCGGATCTCAGTCTCCTGACTTACTGAGCAGCATGGAAGATGGCCACCCCACAGACCTTCACTTACAGGCTGCGGTGTCCGTCTTCACACTGCTGATGAAAGCCATGGAAGATGGCCACCCCACAGACCTTCACTTACAGGCTGCGGTGTCCGTCTTCACACTGCTGATGAAAGCCATGATAACTCCCGGTAAACTTTTCACATCTTAAGGAAAGGTTGCAAGTGCTTTGTACCTGATCAGTTTCTTTGACCCGACTTTAACAGTAGCACTAGGAGATAAAATTAACTGCAGTTTTCAGAGAATTCTCAGAACCTTTGGTTAGTTACATAATTTTAATCCACGTGTTTTAAAAGAAAGTTGATACAATGATTTTAGATGACTGTGGAAAAAATACCTGTAAGTTATTATGTTCTGAATCGAACGTTATTAAATTGGGACTGGGTGGTGGCGGTGCACACCTTGGGAGGCAGAGGCAGGTGGATCTCTGTGAGTTCGAGGTCAGCCTGGTCTACAGAATCCAGGGCAGGCTCCAAAACTACAGAGAAACCCTTTCTTGGAAAAAAAAGTTATTAGATTGTAAATAATTAAAATACATTAAGGTGCACAGAGAAGGAAGGTAGGTAGAAAATGGCACATTGAAGGTGTGGGGATTGTCATGGCGTGTGCTGCAGGGGGGCGGACAGTCCCTTTCAGAGCCAATTCAGAAAGCACATCTTTATTTTGCTTATAAACCATGTCTTTTTTACTATTGGATGTCCAGTTTTCAAAATACTTTTATGTGCATTGGTTTTTGCCTGCATTCATGACTGTGTGAGGTGTCAGATCCCCTAGAACTGGAGCCACAGACAGGGGTGAGCTGCCTGTGGGTGCTGGGAATTGAATCCGGTTCCTCAGGAAGGGCAGCCAGTGCTCTTAACTGCGAGCTGTCTCTCCAGCCCCCTGAAAGCACAGATTTAATAAGGCAAGGAGCACAGGGTTTGCTGAGGGGTTGAAATACTTCAGGAAGAGGAGGGGTAAGAGCCCTCCCTTCATCTGCACCCGTCTCCCCCATCACCCGCCTGAAAACCCACCCCTGATTCCACTCTCGCGAGGTTGAGGCAGGAGGCTTGTGGCGATTGCCTGGCCTATGAGTCTAGGTCAACCTGAACTACAGAGCAAGTAGGGCTCGCTCTCTCTCTCTCTCTCTCTCTCTCTCTCTCTCTCTCTCTCTCTCTCACACACACACACACACACACACACACACACACACACTGCAGAACTCCCCCAGCAAATCTTAGATGGCGGTAAGAAAGAAGAGGGCTGTTCTATCAGAGGCAGCTGTCAACCCTCTAGCTCTGCCTTCAAGCCCAGCAGCCACCTCTGCATGCCTCGACACCCACACCGATATTCAGCATTTCCATCAGCATCACCAGGGTGAAGAAAGAGCCCCATTCAAAACTCATTCTCAGACCTCTTCCACAAACAGGTCTGGATCCATTCAGATGCTACATCTTCGTAAGTATCAGTGCGTTCGCACCAGAGGATCTAAACACGTCTCTGCTGGTACGTGGTTAGCATTGACTTGGATTCAGGCAACGCTTGTGGTGTTTTTCCTGGTGGCGTGTAATCAAGGCTCAGTCAGCGTTTTCTCCTTCCCCAACTCACTCCCAATCTTAACTGTACTGTTTATTTTATAAAGCTTTGTTTTTCTTTGTTCTCTGCCAAAGGCAAGGTTTAAGGAAGCAGAGGACATCTACCAGGCTGGAATAAAGAACTGCCCGGACAGCTCAGATCTGCACAACAACTACGCGGTTTTCTTAGTTGACTCTGGTGAGTGAGACACCACTCTGCTGAGACTCCCTTCTCTCTCTCTCTCTCTCTCTCTCTCTCTCTCATCAGTGGCAATCATCAACCATGCAGGCGGCTTTCCCTTTGGAGCCATGCACCATGGGGCCGACATTTTCCTAAATCTCCAAGTTCATCTCAGAATCTTGTCTCTAAGAAAGCTCTCCAGGGCAGGAAGTGGCTTTGTCTTTCCTACCTCCACACCCACAGGGCTGTACACCAGGGCTGCCACCCTACTCCTCAGTGCAGAGCCTGCCTCCACACCTGCCTCCACACCTGCCTCCACACCTGCCTCCACACCTGCCTCCACACCTGCCTCCAGCAAATGGTGGCTGGTGTCTGTAACCGGCTTCTCTAAGCCTTTGGAACTGTTTCCTCGATGTACATTCCAGAACTGCATCCTAGCCTCGACACCGTGGTCCCCTGTGGTATAGGTGGAACTGGGCACAGATCCATTTCCTCTGCACTTGTGCAGAGCTCCACACATTGATCATGTGTGGTGAATCCCCAGAAGCCATGAGAGGACACTAGGCTTTAATGCAAAAGCGCCTCTCTGTCCTGCTGACCCAACAACAGTCTGCCCTGCAGGAGAACTCAGTCTGATTATTATTTTCCAATATTGAACGCTTGAACGGATTTTCATTTTCTAGGACGTGTGAAGCTTTCCCGTTGGATAAACTGTAGCTCACAATTGGATTGTCTAGGGAAAGCCAGCTACTTTTGCATATAAATTGATGTGTGGTGCCCCCTGCTGGATCATTAGATGATAACACATCATTCAAGTAGGAGGAGCAGAGGAGCACCCGCCTGAACTAAAGCTTGTCCTTTAAATTCAACAAGTAGCTAGCTCCATATAAAAATCCCCTCTGAAAAGAACCTGACATTCACTGATGCCCCTCTGACGTGGTCCTAGATAAACCTGTGTTCCGAGAGAGTGTGTGGGAAAGATTAATGTGTAGCCTTGTGGGTCCGGTCAGTTACACTTTAGGCTGTTCTGAGATTCAGTCACTTGTCTAATTTCTAGGAAGCTTCTCTGGGGACCCTTCTTGGACCAGGGAGATTTGGTTCTCCCTCTGGCTTTTGTCTCCCTTGCCCTGGGATTGTTACCAAGTCTCTTAAGGTCTTTGCACTTTAGCATCTATGTCTGTAAAGTGATCGTTTTGTTTTGGCGGTTTTAAAAAGTACCTGTTAAATCCCAAGGGGCAGTGCAATAGGATCCTGAATACTGTGGAGGCCATGTGAACAGAGGGCTTTAATATACACATGGGGCGAATGCAAGGTGACATAGCCACTGTGTTTACAATCACATCAAATGCATACCGTTGAGGCCAACAAGATGGGTCAGTGGGTAAGGTACCGCCTCTAAGCCTGACCACCTGACATTGGTTCCTGGGACCTCCGTGGTGGAAGGAAAAAACTGATTTTCACAGGAACTCACTCTGACATTCCTGTACACACATGCACACGAGAGTGTGTGCACCACACACACATGCACGAACACATACACACACACATGCACACACACATGCACACACACACACATGCACACACACAAATGCACACATACGCGCGCGCGCACATTGATTAAAATGTATGATTTACGGGTTTCCAGTTGAGCACTGTCACCCTCTCTTGTCCTGTGACTCGAGACAGACCTTTAGAAATTACTGAGACCTGTGTTTGTTCTGTCGTGGTCCGTTCTATTTTGTGTGTAATGATAAGCACCAATGTCTCAAATACATAACCGCAACCAGTTGTGGTGACTCCTGCCAATCATCACAATACTTCCACCGAAGCTGTGGGGTTTCCATGAGTTCTAGGTCAGCCTGAGCTACACAGTGATTTCCAGGCCAGCCTGAGCTATAGTATAAGACTCTGTCTCAAACAAACAGAATCAGTGCCGACTTGTTAATAATTTCATTGTAAGTGTTGATGAACAGTGAAGGGCCAAGGTTGGGCAGGGGAAGCATAAGAGGCCAAAACTCAAGCTGATCACAAACCGCATACCCGATGGTATGATGCTGTCATGAGGAGAAAGAATGGCGTAAGTCCCGAGGGAGACTGGGAGCCACGCCCTCATCCCTGTGGTCACGCCCCTCATCCCTGTGGTTTGCCCTCTGCCCCGCCCCACTACAGGCTCTCCAGAGAAGGCCGTGGCTCACTACCAGCAGGCCATCCAGCTCAACCCAAGCCATCATGTGGCCGTGGTGAACCTGGGCCGACTCTACAGGTCCTTGGGTGAGAACAGCATGGCTGAAGAGTGGTACAAACGGTAGGTCCCTCCTCCCTGCCTTCCCAGCCTCTTGGAGCCATCAGTAGTTCCTCACGGGCGTCTCAGTTACTGGAACAGACAGGCTTTCAGAACGGGAGCACGTGACGACAATTGAGGTGACCGACTCTCACTTCCAGAATAGCGCGGCAGTGTAGTTATTTGCTCAGAGGAGTTCCCCACTGGGGAGGTCACAGTGCTCAGGGGTGAAGCAGCCGTCTCAATGCTAGAAACAGGTGTAGGGCTGCCACTTTGTCAGAACCTGAGCAAGTCAGCCATCAGTGCTGATGCAGACTCTTGAGACCCAGTTGCCAGGTTGGTGGTCACTGGAGGCCTTCACCCGGGATACAGTATAACCTTGAGTAAGTTCAAGCAAGCGTCTAAGTGGACAGTCCTGCCTCTGCCTACGCGCAGTCCACCAGAGAAGCATCTGTGTGCCTTTCTCCCTGCAGCGCCCTGCAGGTGGCCCACACGGCTGAGGTCCTGTCCCCTTTGGGAGCACTCTATTACAACACGGGCCGACACAAGGAGGCATTGGAAGTGTACCGGGAAGCTGTCTCGCTCCAGCCTTCCCAGAGGGATCTCCGCCTGGCCCTGGTGAGTAGAGGAAGAGAAAGTGACACAAGGTGTAAGTGTGGCTTGCAAACCAAGAGCCGGAGCCTCCGGAGTGAAAGGAAAGCGTTCTAGGGCCGAAGTGTGACTGCTCATCACAGAGGAATAAAACTGTCGAGGGTACTTGACCCAGATCCACTATTTTTTGGCACTTGAGTGCACTTGTTTGTTATTTCCTTCCTGTCTGAGTGTGATCAGACAGGTGTGTACATGCGCATGTTCAGACGTGTCTACATGGTGTGCTTTTGCTGGCATGACAGTTTGTTGTAAATACCTCCCCTTTGTCTCTAACTTGTTTCCTACGTGATGCCTACATATGAGCATATCGTCTCAGATAACTGCAATGCAGTGGTCAAATCCAGGATAGTTAACACCTCCTGCCTTTCAATTTCAGTGTTTGGAACTTCACGCTTCCTTCTTAAGTCAGATTTGTCGTCTTTTTACAAACATTGTGTTCTGTCAGGATGGCAGGGAGCTACCTCTTGGCATGTTCTGTCAACTTTTCTAAGAGGAGTCACAAGCCAGCCTGGCGGTGGCACACGCCTTTAATCCCAGCACTTGGGAGGCAGAGGCAGGTGGATCTCTGTGAGTTCGAGGCCAGCCTGGTCTACAAGAGCTAGCTCCAGGACAGCCAGGGCTGTTAAATGGAGAAACCCTGAAGGGTCACAAGCCATTTGGTGGGTATCAGTGGCACCCACATGCATGTAGGAGTCCGTAGCCCAGCACTGAACTCTCTGCTGTGGCACTCAGCTCTCTCTGAATGCTTTGTGTTGGGCATAGGGGTGTCTTGCGCATACCTCTCTCTGGAGAAGTTGCTTCGTCTGCTGAGGGGTGACCAGGTGTCTTCTAAGCCTGGTGCCCTCTGGTTTTGCAGGCACAGGTTTTAGCTGTGATGGGTCAGACCCTGGAAGCTGAAAGGATGACCAGTCGCATAGTGTCGGAGGAACCCAGATGCCTGGAATGCTACCGCCTGCTGTCGGCAATCTACAGCAAGCAGGAACAGCATGAGAAGGTAAGGAAGCTCGCTCTCCAGCTCCCAGCCACCAGAGCAAGGGGGGATGCCAGGATGAGGTAGACAAGGGTTCTCCAGCCATGTGTGGGTCACACCTACAAACATTGTACACCAAATGATCCTTCAGCACTATGTTCACAGTGCCAACAAGTCTGGAGAGCATTGGGCTGCATATCCTACCCACTAGGAACTTTTCTCAGACACCCTCTTACCTCCTGACACATATTGAAATGGCACATCCTTGGTTTCCAGATACTTTATCTCATTATTACAGTTTGTTTCCAGCTAACCAACCCCTGCACGCCCAGCCTCTACACGCCCAACCCCTGCATACCCAGCCCTGCATGCCTAGCCCCTACAAGCACAGCCCTGTATGCCCAGCCCCTGAAAGCATAGCCCCTGCATGCCCAGACCCTGTATACCCAGACCCTGTATGCCTAGTCCCTGCATGCCCAGCCCCTGCATGCCCAGCCCCTGCATGCCTAGTCCCTGCATGCCCAGCCCCTATATGCCTAGTCCCTGCATGCCCAGCCCCTATATGCCCAACCCCTGCATGCCTAGCCC